GCTGAATTACACTTGTGTGTAAAAAGTGTATATCCAGTACTGACTATCTTAAGTCACTCCAAGAGTTTGCTCAGGTATTACCTCTTAATATTTGTCACCCGACAAAATTGGTGGGGGGGAAATTGTGTGTTCAGCTTTGTAAGAGGGTATTTCAAACAGTGGGTATTGGGGGAGGAGAGGCTTAAGAAAACAACCGGAATGACTTCCTTACATAGCAGTTCTTCAGTAAAATTTAAAATAGATTGGCTTTTAATCTAGTTTATATATCCAGTTAATATAAATGTTTCCATTGAACCTGTCTTTCCTTAGATGAATTTGATTCTCTGTGGTATCTAAATATTTAAAGGAAAAGGATCTCTTTCAATATTGGTTCAGCATCTTGAGCTATGCAATGGTGGCATATCACTGAACGTGAGAGAAACTGTAGTCTCAGCTAATATAACTTTATTAATTTATGGCCTAATCCCCTCCCCCCCAAATATCTTGCAGCTTCTAAGACCCAGAGCAAAAAAGCTGGGATTGGGTAAGTACTCATTAAGCTTCTGGTTTAGCGTAAAACTTCCTGCTATCTGTTTTGTTTGGGGTTTAGTTTTAACATTCCATAGGAGTCATAGTGGAACCCTCAGACAGAAATAAACGTTTTCATCAAGTAATTACAAGTAAACAAATGTGCAGTGATTTAAAAAACCACACACATTATATTATAGTGAACTTACAAGAAGTTCCCCACAACCTCAAACCTGCAAATTGTGGTCTTGGCCAGTCTACATAGTAGCAGGAAAACAGTTACTATGCTCATCCTCCTTCCCCTGCTCCACCTACTTATTACGCAGTCGGGTCCTAAATTTAGACAAGTTGTCACTTGTACATGGGCAGACTGCTGTGCTCACATGGTACCCCGTTGACTCAGTGAAGTCACTAGGGCTCTGCGCAAGTGTAACAGTCTACCCATGTGCAGCAAATTGCAGAACTGGGAACTTAATTTGTTAAGGACTTCAGAGCAGGGACTCTTTCCTACTATGTGTTTGTACAGTGCTTATTGTGGCTTGGATCAGTTTAACAGGACATGTTGGTACTACTGTAATTCAAATCATACATTTCCCTTGAGGATCCAGTCATGCAAGTTGTTGAGCACTATCCTCCCCTATTAAGTTCAGTGTTATTTGAAGTCTTTTAGGCACATTACAAGAGTTGATTATCACATACCAGGATATAGTCCTAATTTCGGGGCCAATCCTGAACCACTGTAATCAATTCTAAGATTGCTGTGAATTTAAATGATCAAGATTGGGCCTTCTGTAACTCCACCATTGACTCATTACTACTACTCAAGGAATATGCAGACCATGTCTGTTTTTCATTGTTACTTAAAAAAAGGCAAAAATTAAGCATTTGATAATTTTCTTACTCAAGTGTAAACATTTATCACAAAACATACTGGGGGAAGATTAGTCTGTTCGGACTCAGGCCAGATTTCTTCACTTCCAATAATTGAAATGGAAAAAGCAATGGAACACAACTTACCTACTTGACTTAATGAAAATCAGTATTTGTCTCTTACTGAATCTCGACACTCCCACAAGCTGGTGAAGTATTTCGGGTTTCAGAGTAGCAGCCATGTTAGTCTGTATCCGCAAAAAGAACAGGAGTACTTGTGGCACCTTAGAGACTAACAAATTTATTAGAGCATAAGCTTTCGTGGACTACCATGGACGGCATGCCATGCATCCGAAGAAGTGGGCTGTAGTCCACGAAAGCTTATGCTCTAATAAATTTGTTAGTCTCTAAGGTGCCACAAGTACTCCTGTTCCTTTTGAAGTATTTCAGGTGCCCTGTTTATTGAATATTGTGCAGTTAATCTACTTGTACCACAGGAAATGTTTAACTATGGTATGTGCCAATACCCAAAAGGGGAACAAAGTTCTAAGTCTTGATACTGAATTGTCTGTATTTAAATTCACCCTTTATATTCTCATTTAGATATGAGGCCCTAAGAAACCTAGGTATCTTTTTATTTTCTACCTAATTTTTATCCTGACCTTGGTTGTGATCCCCTGTTCTGTGTTTCAAAGAACAAAGTCCTATATTTATTTATATTTATTAAAATTGGCTTGGTTCAGGGTTTTTAATGCACCCTGTCTTTCCTGTAATAAGTTTATTTACTAGTTATATACACTACATGGATCAGTAACATTCCTGGCTTGTAATTTTGCAAACATTATGAGACAGAGACAAGAGATGAGCTGTTCATTAACTAGAAGTAGAATTCCCTGTGTAAATGCTTGATATGGGCACCAAGGTCCACATCTGGATGCATGCTTTTTAAAAACTGACATTTACATTTTGGAAAATTTCTAGGAGGACAGCAAAGTTAATCTGAGGTAATGAAGACCATGTGCCAGATTTTGATTTCAATTATGCCATTGTAGTGTTATTGGAAAAAATGTGGCCTTAAAACAGCGTCACTGAGATCGGAAAGTGGCCTTCTTGAGGAGAAACTTGGATACCTTAACTTGTTCTGTCTTTTATTGATGAACTGATTCACATAATGTGGTTAAAACAAAAAAAATTAAATTGAGGAAGGAAAGATTTTTAGCTTAGGCATCAGATGGAGCATTTTCATAAATGTTGACTGACTGAACAAAGTAGTAGTTAATAAGAAGAATCTTTAAGATCAGTGGTAAAATTTTCAAAAGCAACTGAGTGACTTAGGTGCGCAAGTCTATTTTTGAGTATTTTAGGCACTGTGGAAAATCTTACCTGTATTGGCTATCCATTTACCAAGTGATGTTTTTCTGGTTATTTCTACTGCAGTGAAGTTTGTCCTGCAAAGTTTTACACTTTTGGAATCTAGTACCGAAATTATTGGAGAAACATTAATCTTCAAACATTAAGATGATTTTTCTATCCTATTTAAAACAAAAACAAAAAACTCAGGAGCATTTACTTAATCCGCTTTTGTAATATAATTTTGAGACGTTGTAGAAAGATTGAATCTGCTTAGAGACCTGTGTGCATGTTAAGATAGTGATGACATTATTTCTATGATGTCTTCACCAGGCACTGCGTATATTCATGGAATGCAGCATGCCACAGGGAATTTCATTATTATTATGGATGCGGACCTCTCGCACCATGTAAGTTTATATCTTGCGTGATCTTTTTTTTTTTTTGTTTTGGTAAGTGTTTTTAATTAATTGTTACTGACTGTTTTCTTTTTCTTCTTTTCCCACCCAACTGCCTGTTTTCAGCCAAAATTTATTCCAGAGTTCATCAGGTGGGTACCATTTTTAATATTTGGAGTATAACTTTTAAGCTGTTGAAGTTCTATGTTAACATTTGAATACCTTCCATTGCTGTATAGCTACCTCATTGAATCAAAAAGGCTGTTTCAAGGCTTAGCACCAACTGCAACAAGAAACATAGTCAGGGCAAGGATTTGGGTGGCTCTAATAAGACCCAAATATTTCTAAAGTACCAGTACCACAGACATTAATCCTTAACTCCAGCAAAACTCCCATAGACTTTAATGAAAGTTTTATTTGCTTAAGGACTACAAGAACATGTCTTTAAAGGAAGAAAGAAGGTGTGACTAAGCACTTATGTTTCTCCTTTAACTGGTTCTACTTTGAAAAGTAACTTAGTACAAATGGGATCTTCTTACTCTACAGTTCTGCTTCATGTGTGCAGTCAGCATTAGAGATGCTGAATTGAATGACTAAATTAAGTTTTTTACTGCTTTGTATTCCTGTTGTCCCTGCAGGAGCCAGGATAGTGAAGAGAGAGAGAGAGTTGGATTCTAGTCCTGCTAGTGCATCATCAGTAGATGTGTTTAATAAGTTACACCTTTGCAAACTAGTTAAAGGCGATGGGGTTGTATGGGTGTAATTGAGGTGGAATTTGGTTTCCAAGTGATGATGCACAAGAAGGAGAGATCCTAGGTTGATTTTTGCAGGGCTTCCAGTTTGAAGAAAAAACATTTATTTACTTGCAAACCGAAGATATTTGATATGGAGTCACTGATAAACAATAATCATGAAACTCCTCAATGCAGTTATTAATTATCAGAGTAGAACCAGACTTTAAATTTTGTGAAATAGCTAGATAGAACAGTTATAGCTATTATTTATCATTTTGAGAATAGAGGTATAGGTATAGTTAAAAGATCAGTCAAAACAATTAAAGACTAAAACTAGATTTTATTTTACAATAACAGTCCCTGAACAAAACTTTTGTTTTCCAGAGTGAGTCAGTGATCTCTGTTAAAAGTTACAGTACCCAGTTACAAAATAGAGTTAACTCTCACTAATTATGGAACATTTTTTTTCTTAACATTTGAAGTTGTATCAAAAATAATCGCGAGCAAGTACCTTCAAAGTTAAGGGTGTCACTCTGTTTATAATTTTCCTCTTTCTGGGCTGTAATGCAGAAGATCTCAAACAATGGATTCCATATAATATCCTGCAGAGCTATGTACAGTGGGGGGCGCAGGATAGTGTCAGACTTATCTTTTAATTTCCTTGTTACTGTCAGTTTGTGTTGTTTAAATATTTTAATACGTATTTTTAAAAAAAATCTCCATTTTACATTGGAGTCTAATTTTTCTTTTGCCTTTTTAAAATAAGTAGGTCTAGATAAATTATTCATGAAGCAGTCTTTGAAGTTCTATGAGATAGATGGTAAAAAGCATCACAAGATGCTCTGAAATAGTCCTGCTTTATAAGAATGTAAAGAGAGTGGTTTAAAAAGGTATATAAATGTATAGTGCTTATAACCAACATAATTATTGCCTTCATGCCAACTTCTATCCCATCTTGTTTGAAGATCTATAAAATATAAATTTGTTTTAAACTGATACAATGACTTTTCATGTTTGAAATAAATTGTATTTCTTGAAGAAAGCAAAAAGAAGGTAACTTTGACATTGTGTCTGGAACTCGGTATAAAGGAAATGGAGGTGTGTATGGCTGGGATTTGAAAAGAAAAATAATCAGGTTAGTATTTTTACCTATATATTTGCAGATAAGAAAATTGCTGCTCAAATTTTTTTCAATAATTTCAAAGAAAAGCACTCTCAACCGATAAATCATCATGTCTTTCATCTCTGGGACTCCCCCTTCCCGGGAGTCTAAATTGCCGATCTGTGTGAACTGGACTAGATCTCAAATGACTAGGAAAGAATGTCCAGTGGTTAAGGCATTATAGCCTAGGACTTGGGAAACCCGGCCTTAATTCCGTGCTCCACCAGAGACTTGCCCAGGATCACACACAGAAAGTTACTTCGCCTCTCTGTTCCCCATTTGTAAAATTAGGATAGCACTTTCCTACCTCCCAAAGATGTTTAGAATAAAGACTGTAAGGCACTAAGATAAAACAGTGATGCGGGGATGTATACAGGAGCGCCACCAGCTTTTTTGCCGCCCTAGGCGGCGGAAGGTCCCGCCCCCCAAAATGCCGCCCCCGAAAGAGGGGGCGGAAGGTCCCGCTGCTGCAGTCACCGACCCCCAAATGTTAGTGCCCTAGGTGACCGCCTAGGTCGCCTAATGGGTTGCGCCGGCCCTGGACATATAAGTACTTTAAACAGAACAGTACTTCTCATCACAAAAGCATATTTAATAATAGAATAGAAACTTGTATGCCTGGAAATTTTCTGGCTAAGAAAACATCAAGAAAAAACTTAACCATGTGATCCCTTTGGGGAAATTGGACTACTTAGGTCAGACTTGGAACACTACTGTGGGTAAATCTGCAGTGTATCAATTTGGGACAATTTTTGGCCTTGCCACAAATAGAACAGTAACTTCTATTTCCTATTTCCCTTCCTTGCCACAAATAGAACACTGCTGCATTTCTTCCAAGTTCATAGGTGTGTACCTTTACATTTAAAGACTGTGCTGGCCTTTCCCAGGGACAATAAACCACTCGATCTCCTTTTGGTTATAATATTGTCTTTCATTTATTAAGAGTTATCTAACAAGTTTTCATGTTAAAATTAATTACCAGCATATAAACCATTCCTTAGATCTTGCCAGAAAGGCTAATACAGTTCTAACTATGGACAGTTGGAAATCTTTTCTTCCCTAAAGAGAAGATAAAATAAAAATGCTATATATAAGTCACATATGAACATGGAGATCAGCTTCTGAATTCTGTGGTGGACTTGTAATCACTGAGGGCTGAATCAGCAGGGGTAGATTTTTCTTCCATATAAAATCTTGCTCTTCTCAAATTTGTCTAAGGTCTGTTCACTAAAACAAGTCTGACTCAGTTGGTCCTCAAAAGAATTGGGAGCAGAAGCCCTGGTAATCATTTTTGAAAAGGCGTTGCCACCACACCTATTATGTTTAGGGTTTTTTTATTTTAATGGCTATTTTATTTTTATGAAAGACGAAGGTGGGGAGGTAATATCTCTTATTGGACCAACTTCTGTTGCTGAGAGCGACAAGTTTTTGAGCTTACACAGAGGTCCTTGTAAGCTTCAGGTGATGTGGGTGTTTTTTCCTCTTGGGTTTAAGTCAGACCCCACAGGAACTGATGAAGATAGAACAATCATTCTTAGACTGGAAACTGTGGTAGAGTTCAGGGTGATATAATATTGTAGCAATGTTAAATCTGAAGAGAAGAGCTGCATTCTTTGAGAGGGACTACTTGTTTGCTAGCTAATTGGATAAGGTAAAAACTAAATGGCAACCCCAAAGCAAGAGTTGGATACCTTAGAATAAATGGACTTTTTTTTTGTACACTTCAAACAATTCACATCAGTCTATTCACTTATTAATAAGTTTCTGATAATTAAAAAAAAATCAGAAATGGCTGGATGAGTTATCCTCCTCTTCCTGCCAACCAAACCAGACTGACTAGAGCAAAAGCCTGGAGGAAGTGGAATGTACTGATTCTGTTCATATATTGGCTATATATAATTACTGTCTAGAGTCCAAAGTGTGCTTGGAGCTACAGAGTTATACATGAAGTCATGCCCCCTTACAGTTGTGAGACCTTAGGAATGACTTGCCCACAGTCACAGCAGAAATCTTCCTGAGCCAGGATTTGAATACAGATCTTCTACATCTAAGTTCAATGTCCTGTCTGCTAGGCCATCATTCTCCTCCCCTTACAGGTGAACATGATCCAAGCAGAGGACTAATCTGTCTAAAATTATATTGCAAAATATTTTGTATTGCAATTTGTTTTACAATGCAGTATAATGTGTGATTGTATACGATAGCAAATCTGGCTTTTTAAAACAGCATTTTGTTCTTAAAGAATATTCAGTTATCTGTATATTCACTTCCAGTTGAAAAGTAAAATGTGTATTTACTGATCTAAACATTTTTTACTTCAAATTCCACATTTATTAATCAAGTCTAGTGCAGTGAAAACCTATTTAGTTATACAACTTTCCATATAAAGTAATAAAAGCTTGCCTTTTTTATGTTAAAATGGTAAATTCTTTTGTGGAAACCCTGCTTGTGCTTTCTAAACTTTGTTTTGAGTGGTTATTGACATGCATATCCTCTTTGACAGTCGTGGTGCCAACTTTGTAACTCAAGTTTTGTTGAGACCAGGTGCATCAGATTTAACAGGAAGTTTCAGGTACATGCCTCTTTTTTTTTTTTTATAATTATGAAGTTGTACTAAAATGTTCTCAATTGCTAGCCAAGAATACGTAGTGGGACTCTGACATCCATTAGAGTAAAGAAAGATGGATTGGAGTCATAAAACTGTCTCGTGACTATTTTTAAACAGTTGTAATGTGGGTAGGCTGTAAGTACAATGCCTGTACATGTTATCTTTGTATCTGAAATCCAAAGTTTTGCCACAGGTTTCAATTTCATTTCAATTTACAGGTTATACAGAAAGGAGGTCTTGCAGAAACTAATGGAAAAATGTGTTTCTAAAGGATACGTCTTCCAGATGGAGATGATTGTTCGAGCTAGACAGTTAGGATACACTATTGGAGAGGTACAGTAAAAACATAGAAAATCACATTTCAATTTTATACTGTAAATGTGGGTATGGGCTATTAGAAGCAAAGAAACTGCCAAGCAAGAACTCATACGAAGTATCATTGAAGCTATAGGCTGGGATTCTCAAATAAGCCTAAGGGGGTTATGCACACAACTCTGCTTCTCCAACATAATTAAATCCCACACTTGCAATCATAGCTGATATTTTTTGTCACCTTTGACTCACTTTTCAGACCTTCACCTCCTGCCTCCACTTGTCTCTCTGTGCAGGATCTTGCATAATTCTTCTAAGAGAAAATTGACAAAATATGATATGACCTTCTCTGTCCCCTTGGTTTGCTTTTCCTTCCCCTTCTGTAACTCTCTCTCTCCTCCTTCTCTCCTGTCAGATGCAGAAGTTTCTCATCTGCTCTCTTCCGTTCTCCTCTCCACTTGTCCAGGGTCCCCAACCCATCCCTACTCTTGATCTCCCTTGCACAAACTCCTAGCTTCCATTGTCCACTTGCTAAATTTTCAGATCTCTTTGTAGTTTCTCACGATTGGGAGGAGTTCTCTGAAAACATCCGCAAAGTTACCTCATTATCCTCCTTTAAAATCTCCTTAAAACTCTCCTTTGCCAGGATGCCTAAAAAATACTTAATAGTTAGGCTACTTATGCTGACCAATAATGTCGCCTTGTTTGCTTGTATTTCCCCCTTCTGTCTGTCTGCCTCCTGTCTTGTACTTAGATTGGGGCAGTGACAGTCTTGTGTTCTGAGTTTGTATAGTGCCTAGCACAATTGGGTCCTGGTCCATGGTTGAGGCTCTTAGGTGCTATGGTAATACAAAACTTAATGATGATAAATCCTCAAGCTCTAGGCACTCATGACACATTTTAAAATGTATAAATGAGATTTAAATCCTATATATTAGAACCATACAAATATTTGTTGTTTCTGACAGATTCTTCCTGGAAATGCTTATCTAGATACAGATCTTTAAGGCCCTGATTTTTCAGAAAAATTGGGCACATAGATGTGCATGCAGATTGGTTAATTGCAGATGCTAGGGTCTAAATTAGGCACGTTTGTGTGTATGTGTATGCTCACACCATTGCAGAATCTGCACACGAAGATTAGGATTTCAGTTCTGTGCATACTTTAAAATTCAGTAGTAGTCAAAATTTTTCTTTTCATGGCCAAGTTATCATATTAAAGATAGTTGATATCTACCAACTTAAAAGAGAACGGTTGTGTGGTGTGAAGCAGAGTTGGCATATGCCATAGCTGGATGGTCTCCTATGCTTCTCTGTTTTATTTTGCTGCTCTTTTGTACCAGGTGTGAAATGCATTTCAGTGCACAGGATGCACATTCTGGTGGTATAAGGGTTACGGCTTTTGCACTATGTAAATCATCACCATTTAAAAATATGACATGCTCTTGAACAAGAAGGTGTAGTCCAGCAACAGTTTAGGAGGTAAATTCTAATTCTGTAGAGGAAATTGTGCCCTGAGATACCGTGTTGTGCCCTGAGATACTGTAATGTCGGATGGCTTGTGAATACAATATGTTCTCTTTTCACTGTTCATGGAATGCCATCCCGCTTTAAGCATCTTGCACTGACTTCCTCTCCAGCATGGAGTTACTGATTTTTTTTTTCCTTCCTAGCCCAGCTAAATATAACTGTTGAGGTGCTTATCAATGTTGTCAAAGGGATCCTAGTGAGAAAGCTGGGGGAGTTTGTTGGATGTCTTAGTTTATGTTCTTCTTTGGCTAGCTGTTCTTGTTGTGAGAAGTAGAACTGTATCTGCCAGATGATTGCCTTGGCCTCTCTTTTGGCATAGGCAGCTGTGCCTGGAGATGAGACATACTCAGTTCTGGCACAATAACAAGGGTGTGGTGTGTATTTGTATTACACATGCCAGCTGATTTCTGATTGAAACTGCCAGTTGAGTGCAGATCCAATTTTTTTATTTTATATGCGTCTGCAGAGTTAATTTTGTTGAATTTGGGCCCTGGAGTATTCTTTTCTAACACACACTTTTGTATTAGAATATTAAGAGTTCTTCTAGAATTGTAGGACAGGAAGGAACCTCAATAGGTCATCTAGTCGTTGCCTGAACTGAGGCAGGACTAAGTATTATCTAGACCATCCCTGACTGTTGTTTGTTTAACCTGTTCTTAAAAAATCTCCAATGATGGAGATTCCACAGCCTCCCTAGATAATTTGTTTCAGTGCTTAACTACCCTGACAGTCTAACCTAAGTCTCCCTTTGTTGCAATTTAAGCCCATTGCTTCTTGGCCTGTCCTCAGTGGATAAGGAGAATGATTTATCACCATCATCTTTACAACACACTTTTACGTACCTTGAAGACTCTGTCCCCTCTCAGTCTTCTCTTTTACAGACTAAACAAACCCTATTTTTTCAATCTTTCCTCATAGGTCATGTTTTCTAGACCTTTAATCATTTTTGTTGTTCTCCTCTGGACTTTCTCCTATTTTGTCCACATCTTTCCCAAAGTGTGGTTCTCAGAACTGGACACAGGACTCCAGCTGAGGACTTATCAGTGCTTAGTAGAGTGGAAGAATTACTTCTTGTGTCTTGTTTACAACACTCCTGCTAGTACATTCTAGAATGATGTTTGCTTTTTTTGAAACAGTATTTATTACATTTTGACTCTCATTTAGTGTGTGATCTGCTATATGCCCCCCGATTCTTTTTGGCCATACTTCTTCCTAGGCAGTCATTTCCCATTGAGTATTCCTTCCTAAGTGTAGTACTTTGCATATATGATTACTGAATTTCATCCTGTTTATTTCAGACCATTTCTCCAATTTGTCAAGATTATTTTGAATAGTAAATGTGTCCTCCAAAGTTCTTGTAACCCCTTCCAGCTTGGTATCGTCCACAAACTTTTTAAGTGTACTCTTTACACCGTTATCCAAA